TGCTTTGAACACAGTGGAAAGCACACTACAAGGATAAACAAAGTTTCTCAATATACTCCACCCACATAAAACCTAATCAACTTATAACTGCATTTTACCTGTTCTTTCATCTTGTCCTGGAAGGTTGATGGCAGCATGTTGGGAAAGAGCTTCAAAAGTTTACTACCCAGCCAATAATGTTGTAATGTAGACACGAATGCATTCTTCCCATGGACGAGCTTCTTGGCCCAGCCTGTCATGCAAGACCAGAAAAAACCATCCATAAAGAACAATCATTTTGATTGGCTCAGCTCCATAGAAATTTGATGTTGCACAATTAATATGGAAAAAAAAAAGAAATACAGACCTGCTCATTGAAACCATTGCTCTAATAGCCGAACATGCTGGGCTCACCCAAGTTGAAGCTTGATGTGTACCTACAATTGTACATGTCAAATAATTGTTGTGCATATTCAGAGAAACTAAAATCACCCAATTGTCCGTTTAAACCACACAAATGCAAACATTAATTACAAACATTGTACGGAAGGTACCTGAGTGCGTCCTCACAATAGAGCCACTTCTTACCCGCGCCTCACATTCCACAGCACCAGGCTCTTTGTGCATCGCGTGCGAGCCTCCGACAGACCGAACATTTGCATTTGAAACGCAATTCTCAGACGCGGGCTGCCACTGGACGCCGACATGGAATTGCGTTCCGAAGATGATAACTTTGCTTTCTTATCACCTCACCTCTGCAAAGCAACTTCCCTGCACGCTTATGCGAGCACACAACAGGCGACAACGGAGGTAAACTATGAAGTTCCACCGCCTCACTTGTATCGCAAGTCACACCTTAAGGAACCGATGAAAAAAGGGCAACAAAAGTTCACACACACAGTTCCAAATTTTAATCTTTCAACAAAAGGTAAACAACTGAAAGCCCACACACCGAAAATACAAAACAAAATTTTAAAAATAAAATCGAGACCACCCAAAATGCACCTGGACATGACTACGGCTTTTTTTCCCTCCACCTCTGTAAAGCAGCCAACCTAGACTCTTCATGCACCACAATAGAGGCTTTTGATTTAGACGACTCGTCCCCCTCAACCGGCACATGCGCACCTGATGACAGCCTCACTGCAACCAACCTGAACACACAAAGAAGTCAATGAAAATGACACCCCAGAAAAAAAATAAAACACACACATATAAAAACCATCACCTAAAAACACACACAAACACACACTCAAATAACAAAACAATATACCGCACAAAATACGGCGAGAGATGCAAGCAGAAACCTGTTATTTGGATCTCGACAACAGCCACAGAAAAGCACAAAAAAAGTTTTGTTTTCTTTTGGAGAAGGAAGTCCACAGCAAACCGAAGATCTTCGCACAAACTGAGAAATCAAGAAAAGCGGTTATTTCACTTAAATACCCAGGAAACAAAATAGAAGCGAAATAACACATGAAATAAGGTCACCACAAATTACGGACACAAAGTACATAAACCCAACAAAAATCCCCACAAATTACTGACACAAGGTTCAGAAACTACACGCAACGCCGAAAGCAGGAAAAAGTGTCACCTGCGAAAATCCCGTCAACCCCCAAAAAACAAAAAGCCAGCACCGACGGTACCATGTAACGCGATGAACCAAAATAGGCGACGCAAACCAGATCCACGGAATCACGATGAGAACACACAAACGGTCAAGGGCATCCCGGTCAAATCGGGGGCCCAGTGCGAAATTTCAAAATAGGGCCCGAGTGAAAATCGATCTCCAATTTCTAATCGAAACTTTGTTCATATCATATCGACCATTGTCGATGTCTTCTACTATTGCCATATCAAAGCAGCTCAATATTCTACCAAGAGGGACTAACTTAATTTAGTTCATGAATGAGATAACCCAACAAAACAATAGCCGGGAATCCAGCTTTCATGGCACACTTTAAATTTGAATGGTAAAAAAAACTGCCACCAGAAAGGAAAAAGCAAAGGGCCCCAAAACTTGTGGCCTCTGTGAATAAAAGGTCATTCAATTAGGTCACATATTTTTATTAAACATTACAATTCTATACTCTACTTTACACATACCACAGTTAAGTCACCATATGTCAGCTTACTTTCGTGTACATTAATAATCAGTGCTAATTTTCATTAAGTTGGATAGTTTTGCAGCACAATAAGAAATCCGTCTTGAAACATTAATCTATAATATCACCCAAACAATAATAAAAATAACGCATTCAGTAGCATAAACCAAACAACTGGTCCTTCAGGCACTTCATTTCCAATTGCATAAAACAGATACTGAGTAAATATGTTAATTAGCATGCTCTTTAGCTACCTCTCTTTAATTGGTTGATAAGAATAAGGAAAAATGAACATGTATTAAACTAAGTTAATCAACTAATTGACCAACACAAAAGAAGAAGCCACTTACATCAATATCATTTGGCAATCCTGATGCAAAAGATTTCTGCAAACATACAAGAATTTTATAAAAGCATCCCATTTATTAAGAAATCAAATTTAAGCCCTCATAATTAATAGAGGATACCTGCAATTCTTCATTTCTCGTGCGATGTCGTCCGGTAGGACAGCAGAAAAGAGAAGTACTTCAGGAGATCCATATTTAGAATATAGTTCCCCTTCCTGGGTGAGCACCCACCTTTCCCTCTTACTATCCTGCAGAATTTTCAAAATATAATACACATCAGTCATAAAATTTCATTAATTTCTGCAAATTCATACAAATTATATACCAACTCAATCTTACAAACTGTACTCATATTCAAAATGTTCAAAAAAATACAGACTTTTACTACAAAATCCATGAAATCTACCACAAAAGGGCAAGACATTTAGCTAATTACACCATACGCTACTCCTAAAAAACATTTACCCATCAAAATCTAATGAAAATTCGATTAAAAAAAACAGGTGAATCTGTGATACTGCGGAGGTGGAAGTTGACCTGGGCATCAACGACACGAAAGCCATGGAGAAAGAAAAAACCGATTGATGACAAATTTCGGTCAGTCCGCGAAGGTTAGATTTTAGATTGGAGAGCATAACATGTCCTTCAAAAAAATCAAAACGACATTTATTTAAAAAAGGAGGGAGTAGTTAATTACAATTGTACCATAAAAGGCACAACCAATTATTAAAAAAAAGGTCATTAGTTAATTACTACTACCTTCTATTCTTCTTAAATGTCATTTTGGCATTATCAACTATTTGCAAAATAAATGTCGTTTTGGATATTTTGTATATATTTTTCAATTATTACCCTCATCTAGCTAATAAATACACTACGTCTTTTCATATTCACTTTTCATCTTTTCTCATAACATTCATCTCTATCCTCATTAATGAGGGTTATTATTGGCAAAAAATATATTCTTAATAAGTGTACAATTTCTCAAAACGACATTTATTATGAATAGGAGGGAATACAACTGTACCACAAAAGACACAACCAATTATTAAAAAAAAATAGACATTTTTAACATTTCACATAAGACAGTCTCTCAGAGCATGTTTGTTTATAGAAATTTTTGGTTTTGTTTGGATTATTTGGTTTGATTTGGTTAATTTTGAAAAAGGTAGTATGGTTAGTTGTTAGTGGATATATTAAAATAAAATAATTAAAATAATTTCATATAAAAGTAGAAGAAAGATGATTTGATGTGATGGTTAGTTAAAATAATGTGAGTGGATGAATAGTGAATTAAGGTTGATGTGGTGTGTATGAATGATTGATTGATATTATTTAATTATATTAATAATAATTGATGATAGTGGGGTTGAGTTAAAGTTGAGTTAAAAAAAGTGGTTGAGTTAAAATGTGAGAATTTTTTCGAAAAATTCCATAAACAAACATGCTCTCAATATTGTAAATGAGGACATTTTTGTCTTAAAAAAAAAACATTTAAGTAAATTATAGAGTGGACACATTTCAACTCCTAAAGACACTAAAAATGGACACATGTCAATCATAGAAGAGTCCTAACTTATTCATATAAGATATAAGAGAGATATAAGAGAGATATATATATAAATTATAAAATAAAAAATATTAAAATGACAAAATTCAATGTCAATCGATGAACGCAATCGTGCATGGTCAGTTTGGTATTTTTTAAATTTGTAGTGTGCATATACAGACACGCTATCGTGCAATTCATTTATCGTTGTTGTGCACTGAATTGTATACTGATTTAAATCCCCCTATCCTCCTATATTAATATGTGGCTGTTTCTGATGTTCCGGAATCATATGTGGCAAAATTACATACTTTGTTATTAGGCTTGGGTAAATTTTAATTTAATTCCAAACCAAAAATAATTAGGTTCGTATTGCCATAAATATGTTGGTTATTTATAGTCATGTTACCTGTATTAATTGAATTTTAATATCATTCCTTATTATAACTATTGAATTGTATATATATTTTAAAAGTTAATAACTTTTGTATTTTTTAGCAGTTTTACATATATAATATATCAAATTAATCTTATGTTGATGAGTTTCGATTTAACATCCATATTGTATATATAAAAAAATAATTTATATTAATCTTTATAACAATAAGTGGATCGGATCAGACAGATGGCTCATAATTAAATTAGTAAGATTATTTATCAACTAATATATTTATATTTCAAGTAGTTATATGATATAAGTTATAAAAACTAATATAATATAACACATGTAAGTCATAAGTAACACATATTATTCTAAAATATATAGTAATATATTTTTTTTTTATAAAAAAATAAACTAAATTTAATATAATTTTCTCAAATTTAAGAATAATTTTTTAACAAGCACCAGTGTAATACACGAGGTGTTTTACTAAAAAAATAAAAAATAAAAAAAAATGGGGACTCGCAAGACGGACGAAAAAGAATATACTTCGTGGTATTTTGTAACTAAAAAATATTTTTTTATTTAAATATTCAAAAAATGAGGTTTATTATTGGCGGTGCATAAAAATGTAAATGAGCAGCCGTTGTCAACCACTCGTTCCCGAATCCTCATTTTTCTTATCTTCAGGCGACATAACACGCGCCGCCGTCATGAGCCTCCTCACCACTTTCAGACGCCCCCTCGCAGCTGCCGCCTCTGCCAGCGTACGGTTTTATGTCACAAAACCTTGGTTTGTAAGGATGGATAACGCGGGCGGTCCAGGAGCTTCCAAGGAACAGATGCTTGACATCTATGTCAAAACACTCGCTGCAGCTCTTGGCAGGTATATATATATAGTATATGGGCTTCCTCGTCTCAACAAAAACATCACATATGCAAATCAATTAGGATCAATTAACAATTTATGTGCTCCCCAATAGCAAATACAATAGAAACCCTATAAAGCGCGCTCTCGATTTATGTCAAAACTACTAAGTCAGTAACCCATAGTCATTACTTTCATCGGTTGTTTTTTTCATTTTTAAATATTTTTTTTTTTATTGTTCTATTAAAATCACTATTTTGCTTAAACTATTATTTTGACGGTATAGTTCTCGAATTTATTTTCATCCGAGTTGTTGAAGTCACTTGCTACTGTTGTTTTGTTAGTGAGGAGCTGGCTAAGAAAAAGATAGTCAAGTTTCACTCCCTAGGGTTCAAATGTGAGATAGATCCGGGAATTGCAGCTGAGCTTAAAGGTACGGGATTTAAACTTATTCAAATTTAGCGTGTTCTGTTACGTATCGCGATCGAATTCGATTTACATCTGCTCTTATTGTTGCCAGAGTTTCCCACTGTTCGATATGTATCTCCATGTGATCAAGGTCTTTGGGGTAGAGCCTTTTCTCCATATGTATACTCAGCTTTTGCTTATGTTTTCATTATGAAATCTTCTTCTCATCGAATAAAAGCATGCAGTTTGAACATACGCATTTGTGAGCTCTTTAGATCAATATTTGTACACTTTCATCATGCTATTACAATTGCTTCCAGAAGACACTTGATTGTGATATTTTTTGTAAACATATCATGTGGTCCACCTTTATAAATATTTAATGTAGCGTTAAAATTTCAATGAAATATAAGGATCTGTAAGTTGAAAAATAAAAAATATGTACTTGATTATTATTTACTACCATATAACACAAGCAATTTTACACTCCTTGATCCCTTGTGTAGTTCTCATTTCTTTTCTTCTTTCATTTTTTTTTCTTTTTCTGATGTTGTTTTTCACTTATAGTAGCACCATATATTGTTGCTTGATCATGTTTTTGTTTCGATCTGCTGCGTAATATTTTTTTTTATTTTTATGTTTTTCGATTCTGTTTGCAGTTCTGGTATCATGTGTATTTCTGTCTTATATGCACTTTTGGTGTTTAAGATGGAATATGGGTAATTTTTTTACAGATTGAAACCAAAGAGAAGTGCAGAGTTCCATTTGGTTGATTGAGGTTGGTCATCTCATTTCTTTCATGGAATTTTGAGTCCCTCTTTGCCTTTCTCAGATTATTGGTTAGTAAGTTATTTAACTGTGCTTTGCATACATGAACCCAGCAAGTGTGGAATGATCTTTTCCTGAGGTATGCTGAAAGGAAATAGTTGTGGGATAAAATGAATTATTGATATAATGCTTTTGCTTATTTGTGTTCTTGTGCACATCAAAATGATTTTCCTATGGTCGCACAGTAGCCAGCGCATATGAAATGGTTAACCCGGCCCTTATAATAGGTTCATTGCTCTAGCCGATAATACGATTAACTTGGTGCTGAATTCTCATTATGATGAGTCACTCTATGCATGATTAATTTATGTGCCTTATGCTGAATAGTTTTGTCCATGAGCAAGATCAACATGGTGTCGAATATCTTATCTCTTTAGGTGATGCTTCATTTTGTCTTATTTTAGTTTATATATGGGAACATTGAATACATCGTAACACTTGAAATGAATGCCAACTATGACTAGCAGGAGTTGGCAACAGTTACTTATACGCACTGCTGAGTGAGAAAGAAAATGTTTAAATGGCTGATATTTGGATTTTATAACGTGAAAGTACTGTGAATGTTGGGATTTTTATAGCTAAAGATTTTTATTCTACAGAAACAAAATGTTTAATAAATGGCTGATATTTGGATTATATAACGTGAATGTTGGTATTTTTATAGCTAAAGATTTTTGTTCAAGAATGTTTTTGCTCCACACATTTACTTATTATCTTAATGGGAACATGATATTATTATTATTATTATTATTATTATTATTATTATTATCATTATTGTTGTTATTGTTATTGTTATTGTTATTGTCTTGGAGGTTTGTTCTTTGTTTCTCATTGGTTTTTTTTTTTCATTTATTTATTATCTGCACTTGCATCTTCACATTCATGTATGAGTTCCTCTATTCTATATAGTTGATCTGATTCTTCTTCATGTGAATGTGATTTAATAACAGCTGGGAAGAGTAGGGTGACGAGTTGGGAGCAGCAATGAATTTTGGCTTAATTTAATTTTAAAAGATATTATCTAGCCATCTGATCTAATTAGTAATGGCGATTCCCAGTAATATTATCAAATTGCAATCAGATTGAATTCATGGTACTGCCTTAATGTGTTGTATCAGATTGGATTCACTTCCGTTGAATGTCGACTCTTGTTCTCATACAGGGGCGAAGCCAGCCTCAAATTTCACCGGGGTCGGCAATATTTTTTAGCGGGGTCATTAACCTAGTAAACTGTGTTTGAACAGTATTTTATACTAAAAATTTTGAAATCCATAGGGGTCAGCTGACCCCAGCCACAAGGTGTGGCTCCGCCACTGTTCTCATATATTGTTTTTTCCACATTTGTTATGTTGCTTGGTGTTATTAGTGCGTAATTTCTGTTGGAAGGTAAAAATATTCCATACAGTTAAAATTCTGTTTTTGACCGCATAAAAGGTATTACAGGGATGGAGAGAATATTCCAATTATGGGTGGCCTTAAAGACTTTGTTTTTTCTTTTTTCGGGAACGATAGAATTTACTCCATCAATAAAAAGTTGAGGAATTTACACTCCTTAGACCATCTCCAACCGAACACCCTATACTCAAACTCATGTTGCAGTACTTATCTCATTTTGCAGTAATTCATTTGCAACTGAAAAACTTATTTTTCAACCCAAAAGAATATTCTCGGAATATTATCTTTTACATCAACTTTTACAACTTTTCAATATTACCCCCATATTTTATAAATTTACAAATTAAACCACACTATTATTTTCAATTTAATTTGGACTTTATGTAATAAACTAATTATAAAATTGTAATCATATACATGATAAAATCGGAGAAATAAATAATCATTAAAATTAAAATTTAAAAATTACAACACACATTATAATATTTAAAATTACAACGCACAAAATGATAAATTAAAATTACAACGCACAAAATAAAATTAAAAATTACAACATACATGATTGGATTGAATTATTATACATAATGAATAAAGTTTTGGTATACGTAATACAACAAGTATTGTTTTAGTTACTTAGCTATTTTTTTCTTCTCCTTCTGGTGTGTGTGTGTGTATATATATATATATATATATATATAGAAAAGGGATCATATGAGAATGATAGATAGTGAAAGAAATAAGAATAGATTTCTTATTTCTTATTTCTACACAGGTTATAGGGATGGGTTCCCATGAGAATGGTTGCTAGTGAAGGAAATGAGAATAAATAATGAACATTGGATCAATTCAATCTGACGGACATACATAATTCGCTGGAATTCACATACAGACAACATTGGAGGGTACTATCGTAAATTACTTATCAACCAATTTCCTTTGAGCTAATACCCGCACAGACCGAGCATTCATTGAAGACCTGCAGGTGGAAACCCTTAGCTACGTTCATACATGCCCTAAATCTCGTACCTCAAATCTCGCAGCTGTGTATTTCTCGAGATCGATTAACACGAAATCAATGGGGAAAAATTATGCTCGCTTGAAATTTTGCGATTGATCTTCACTATTTCGAGCCCCGTTCTGCCATATCCAACGAGAATTCCGTACAAATTACCCGTACGTGAGTTTGAAACTTTCGATTGATCCATCATATTACATACTCGACGGCCTCAGGTATATATTCCCATTGAACTTTCGATTTTGGTCAATTGTTATATGAAATAAAGTGTTCTCGATGTAATTATCGACATGTCAAAATATGTAATATTCATAGGTAATAAGTGGATAGTTGATCTGGTATACTTTGATTTTTTCATGTGATTTAGGGATATCATACGATTTCTTTGCTGAGCAGCATAAACAATGGAATTAAATGTATCTCAACCAGGTACTGGGGTCAATTTTATCTTTACTGCAACAAAGTGCAACAATAGATTCTATTGAGTGCAATCGTATGTTCTCACCGGTGCAATCGATGGGCTTAGTTATTACTAATAATATGCCTTTTTCTGTTTTTTTCCCCTCTTGCAATGGCACTTAAGGAATGCAACCGCCGGTTACAGATCATCAACTTTTAATCACACCGGGTGGAACGAAACATTGGATACCACAATGTGACGAATCGATTAAACCATATAAAGGACAAAGATTCCGGAAATTACATGAAGCGGTGAACTGCTACACTGCTTATGCTCGTACTGTTGGGTTTGACGTGAGACATAGCACGTTGGTGAAAGCACGTGACAAGACGATTATTTGGAAGTACCTTGTGTGCTCGCGAGAGGGTCACAAGCATCATGCAGTCGTCAGTCCATCAGTACATGCTAAAGGACACGTGACAAGACGTAGGGTGTCCAACCAGGTAGGATGTACTGCCAGGATTGGGATTCGATATGACGGATTGAATGGATACATCGTTAAAACCTTCGAGGAAAAGCACAGCCACTCGATGACATCTGAAGTTTGCAGGTCCCAAATGAAGATCAATAGGTCGATGAATGCAGGACATCGGTCGTTTGTAATGAATTGCATAAAAGCAAATATAAGGCCGGTCAAGTCGCACCGATTATACAAGGAGATGGTTGGAGGGTATTCGAACGTCGGAGCCACCGACGTGGATTTCAAAAACTTTAAGCGGGAAGTTCGTGCGTACATTTTAGGAGCTGATGCACATTTGATTATCGATAAATTCCATAAGCGTCGGGAAGCAACCCCAGCTTTCTACTTCCAGTACGAGCTCGACGAAGGAGAGCATTTGAAACGGCCTTTTTGGGCTGATCCGATTTCGAGGAGGAACTACGGTTCGTTTGGTGATGTTGTATCGTTTGATGCGACGTACAACACCAACAGGTTGGCATAAATTTCACACATATTTTT